AACGGTAAGTGGAGCAAGGTGTGCAAGATGGTTTTCAATGGAGGAAAGGCGTGCGAGGCCGCAAGTTCAGGGATGTGGCCGGTTCAGAACTGCTGACGGTGAAAAGATTTAATGTGCTGTCTTTGCCGGATCCTACGGTGACTGAGGAGAGCTATAGTTGGGGAAGGTACAAGGAGGGATGGCGCAAGTGATACTCTGTTTTGGAACGAAGTGGAGAGGGTCAGTGGCGAGATTCAGAAACTGGCACAACAAATTCTTTTTGCCAAAAATCTTGGGATTTCTTTGACAATAATTAATTTGTTGATTTTGGTGAGCAATAAAAGGAAACTAATGGTGGAAAAAATAGGAATGTTTATTAGTTTAGATATATTATTTCCCTTTATGCGGTTTTTCCCATTTATTTTCTATTGTAGTCCTTAGTTAGCAGTGAACCTAAAGTAATTTGGGTCTTTTTTTTTAACAGTAATGAAATGATATAGAGATAAAATACACTCCAGCTACAAAACTAAGTAGTTTAGAGTTACGTAAAATCTTGCATATATCAGTTAACTCACACACACAAAGATAATGTAAGACAAACACCATACAATCGAGGAGGAGCCCCACTTAATGAGGCTAATTTTTTTACACCACAACTCCAAAACTAGTTAATTTAGAGTTGCATGAAATCTTATATATACCACTTAACTTACATACGCAAAAATAATGTGGAACAAACACTAGGAGGAGAGAAAACGTAATTTGGGGTTTAAGTTAATGTGACTAGTTGATTTGTATGTTTTCTTGTAGTACCTTCATTTGATAATTATAAAATTGACAATGCTATAATTACAATGCTACATAAAATATTATAAATTCTTACATGGTGTTAAATGAATATGATGTAACATTAAATGAGTAGATATATATAATATATATCATGTGTGAACGTCTAAATAAAAAAATAATTATATAATTATATATTATATTATATGTTTATAATGCCATATATTATTGTAACTATAGTATTTTCATTATAAAATTCAGTTTTTTTATTAAAAAAAGTTATTTAAGTTGTAATTAATTAATGATAAATATGAAATTTTATCAATTACTAACTATGCTCAATTGTAGAGATTTAACTTTTAATTTGAGGTGTTCAAATTTAATTGTCTAATAATGTTTCTTTTTGAAGACGTTATTTAATGCATTTATTTCTCTTTTATCTTTATTTTAAAATGATAATTACAATATGCATTAATTAAAAAGACTTACTCCTTATTTAAATATGAGTTAGAATTACATATCACACTTACGTATTTATTAAAGTCTTACACATTTACACAAGCCTTAATTTTGAGAATTTATCTTTTTATTTTCAATGGTTAAAGTTAATTTACTATTTATTATATTTAGTAAAAATAATTATTTTTTTATCTAAAAAATTATAGTAAATCTCAATTATTAAAAATTAAGTAATGAACTTTGAACTGAGGGAGTATATGCATATTTGTTTTGTTGAAAACATAAAGAAAAAGAAAAAGAAAATTAACACTAAAGTTGGAGAGAGAAGTATTTTTTCAGTATGAGTTATATATTTATATTTTATGTAATTTGAATATTAAAATTATAAAAATATTATTAATAGATAAACTTAAAATGTAATTTCATTACTAGCAATTCTATAGTTACAATGTTACTTACGAATTCAAGTTTATAATTTTACACTAACGACCTGTTAATTCGAGTGAAAAAAATTCGACTCCCCTTAAGTAAAATTGTAAGATTTCAAGTTCAAGTCCTATAAATGGAAAAACAAGTGTTAGGAAAGTTTCCTCCCCTCTTAATGGGATTCGACGTGACTCGATTCTGAATTAGTCGGAATCCAATGTAGTTATCGGATACCGAGAGGTTAATAAAAAATACAAACAAGTTTATAATTTTACATAATTATTAATAAAATATAATGTGTAAAATTAAATAAATGAATATATAAAGCCTTGATGTGTGCACACTCGGATCCCACGCCCGGGTGTGCACACACCACATAAAAAAAAACATGGACCGGGTGTGCACACATCTTTATCCATATATAAAATATCATAAATTGACTCTTCAATAAAAAAAATTAATTATATAATAACATATCATATTATAAATTTATAATATTATATAACATTATAATTATAATATTTTTATTTCATTAAAAATATTTTAATAATTTAGGATTAA